GGGCACTCCTGCCCTGAGACACTTCTCTCAGGTCCAGCACGGGGGGGGGGGCACTTCTGCCCTGAGACACTTCTCTCAGGTCCAGCAGGGGGGGGGCACTCCTGCCCTGAGACACTTCTCTCAGGTCCAGCAGGGGGGGGGGCACTCCTGCCCTGAGACACTTCAGGTCCAGCAGGAGGGGGGGGAGCACTCCTGCCCTGAGACACGTCTCTCAGGTCCAGCAGGAGGGGGGGGGAGCACTCCTGCCTTGAGACACTTCAGGTCCAGCAGGGGGGGGGCACTCCTGCCCTGAGACACTTGACGAAGTCTTGGTAACCGGCTCTGAGACACGCTCTTTAGTGTGACGTCTCTCTCAGCTCGGCTCCCCTCTCAGCCATCCTGGACGACGCATGTTGCGGACTGTTGCAAGATTACAACTATGAAGAACGACACATTTTGTTTCTGAACTGTCTTTTTGGTTTCGTTCACTCTGGTCGTTCACTCTGGTCGTTCACTCTGGTCGTTCACCAGCCATTATGGCGTTATATACGGGTTCTGACCCCTTTAGTGTTTTAGTTGATCGTTAATGAATGTTCCTGGAATATGGGACAAAGAAAAAGTATGAGGAATATCATGGTGACCCCCCCCCCCAGCCTCCGTGTAGTGGGTGTTCAAATATATATACTGAACACTGTACAACAACTCAATAATTCCCTCGTTTGAACATATTCTCTAACCTTAAATATGGAACGCTGAAACTATTCGTGTGTGTGTGTGTGTGTGTGTACTCACCTAGTTGTACTCACCTAGTTGTTTTTGCGGGGGTTGAGCTCTGGCTCTTTGGTCCCGCCTCTCAACCGTCAATCAACAGGTGTACAGGTTCCTGAGCCTACTGGGCTCTATCATATCTACACTTGAAAGTGTGTATGGAGTCAGCCTCCACCACATCACTGCCTAATGTATGTGTTTGTGTGTGTTTTGTGTGTGTGTGTGTGTGTGTGTGTGTGTGTGTGTGTGTGTGTGTGTGTGTGTGTGAACAGGGTTTCTCCGCCACGGTACAGTCGAGGAATAGTAAGCCTGTACAAAAGTACCCTGGAAAGTGCAAAATGGCAACGCCGCGTTTGTTGTTGTTGTGGTATTGGGTTACATCATGAATGGCTAGGCGCTTTGTATCGACGAGTCTCATTGGTCAAAACACCACTCACTTGTTTACATAATTCTCTCTGCCATCTAAGGGAAAGTATAATACGGCAATGAATAAAAATGAATATATTTAGATTTGTGACCAAGGGAGATGGCCCCACATGTGCACTTAGGAGCTTATTGACCTTTCATGTAAACAATGTAACGTATGATAATGTTACGTATTGGCATCTGGCTGTTGAGGCAGAGACGTCCCTGGAAACACAAACCGAAACTGTCTCTATTTTCCGCTTGTTACAACTTGTAATAAAGTTGTTACATCTTGGCTTAACGTGTTTATGACGTATTTGAACGTTGTTACAACTTGCTATATTGGTTGTTATAACTGGTTAGGAGGTGTTAAAACTTGTTCGAACGTTGTACCAACGTCGTAGTTTCGGTGTGTGTTTGGCGGGGTGCACAGCGCTGCCTGCAGCGGCGGCCTCCCTCAAGCAACACCACGCTAAACACCTTTCCAAATTAAAGATTGTTTGCAAACATTTTGATATGTGAATATAGTTAATATACTATATACGAGTAATGGTATCAAGACCTAATATTACATCCAAGACAAATCCTCGAATCAACTCCACAGTGCTTGGGTTGGACGGTAGAGCGACGGCCTCGCTTTATGCAGGTCGGCGTTCAATCTCCGACCGTCCAAGTGGTTGGGCACCATTCCTTCCCCCCCGTCCCATCCCCAAATTAATATCCTGACCCCTTCCCAGTGCTGTATAGTCGTAATGGCTTGTCGCTTTACCCTGAAAATTCCGTCTCTCCATCCAGAGTGCAGACCCTTTATCAAGAATGACCTCCAGGGAGGAAAGGCTATGTCAACGAGGAGTAATAATTACTATAAGAGAGAGAGGCATGTCAATCGCCGCCATCTCTAGAGAACTTGTAATAACAAAGCCAACTGTTACTGTGGTGCAGCGGTGGGCAGAACCCGGGAACTTGAACCACAGACATTGGTTTGGTGGGCCAAGAACAACCTCTCACGAAGGAGACCCGAGAATTCTTCAGTGCAACCATCAGTCTCCCTTCAAGAATACAGATGCCATCAGGAATGAACTGCAGTTAGAGGCATCTAGACGCACAGTGCGAAATCGACTTCCTGAAGCCGACATCCATCACTGGATTCCAGCCATAAAAGGTAAACTTCTAGAGCGCGAAGATAGAGAAGCAAGATTGGCTTTTGTCAGAAGATATGTCAGTGATGATCTGGACTACTGGGTCCGTGTAATCTTCAGTAATGAGTAGACACTCACCCCAGCCACTCACGGCACATTACGCTGCTGGCCTCCCAACAACACATCATATGAACAGCAGTTTATATGTGAAACACAGACGTGGTTATGTATCGTGCAGTGTTGTGGTTTGGATACAGCGTGGGAGAACTTGCTGGTATTCAGGGAGCCTTCATTGCTAACATGTTGAGATTGTGGAGGAAGTGAAGGTGCTTTGTGTGCTTGCATCTGTTCTTCCCTACGGTGAGCAAATAATATTTTTGCAGGTATTATACTGTTTATTTAATAACGATTTACCATGAAACAGGCTAACATAATCCTACCTCTCAGTCAGTAATGTTACTCAGGCTTTACCATCGGACATTTATTTTACTAGGTTCGTTGTTTTGTGTTAAGTTTAACCTCAAAATGTTACCAAATATTCGGCGTCAATTGTTACTAGCTATTGTTAACTCGTTTTACAGAACATTTAACGGGCTAATTGCTCCATCAATAATGGCCAGATTGTTAGGCTAAGTTTTGTGGCACATAACAGCAAGGCTGGGATATGAACCCCGACGATATTGTGTGTCGGGGGAATATAGTTAGCAGCAATTGGGAGCAGAGGCCAGAGCGATCCCACTAACCTCGTCTTCAACACACACTGGCCCACTGGGAGTTGTGGCGCTATAACCCGCAGATAATCTACAACCACGTCGCTACAATGTCTCAGAGGTTTCAGGTTATAATCAACAACGGAGGATGGATGGCAGTTGTTGTCAACCCGGCGGGTTGTGTGGGCCTGGGTGTTGCGGCTGACGTGGCTTGTGTCCCGTGTTTCTCCTGAGGGCCCCCTGGGGCCGTGACGGTCTGCAATCATAGGGGGCCTGTGCCCCCTGTCACCAGGCAGGCCTCCACTGGCCTGAAGTATTCTGGAAATACTACTACCACGCAGTACACGTCAACCCGTTCTCGCAAATTCGTAAAGTCAATATTGACTTATTAACTACGTGCCTAGGTGATATACTAAACATAATAGATACCCTTAAAAAGATTCATAGAAAACACCGACCTTACCTAACCTTGTTAGTATCTTAAGATAAGCATCTTATTGCTTCGTAATTACAATTATTACTTAACTATACCTATTATAGGTTAGGTAATAATTGTAATTACGAAGCAATAAGATGCTTATCTTAACATACTAAGTAGGTTAGGTAAGGTCGGTGTTTTCTATGAATCTTTTTAAGGGTATCTATTATGTTAAGTATGTCACATATGCACATATTTAATAAGTCAATATTGACTTATTAAATTTGCGAGAACGGGTTGTACAGGTGGTGTTACTTGATATGCTACGTGTCCCTGTAGAGTCTGTGTGTGGGGTACAGCTGCTTGCTGGGAGGCGGCCGATTATCAAGTTCGGCTCCTCGGTGATTTACCAAGATCTCGTCGCGCGCTATGATGGGCGCTCTTTCAATCTTCCTTGAGATGGTGGGTCCGTGACCCCCTCTGACCGTTGTGGTGCCACGACGCATGTATCAGTGCTTGGGATGCCCTTCGAGTTCCCTGAGGACCTTCTACGTCGGTACTTTGCCCGTTTTGGGCGGGTCCTTCATGTGAGGATGAATGCCGTCCCCACCGGGAGGTGGAAGGGGGTCCCGTGTGGGACCCACACACTCGCCATGCGCCTCAGGGATCCTATACCGTCCTCCATCATGCTGTTGTGGTTCCCGATCCGTGTCTTTCACACAGGACACCCCAGGACATGTTTCAGGTGCGGCCTACCGGGTCACCAGGCCGCGGGGTGTGAGGAGCGCCGGGTCACCCCTGTTAATCTCTTCTGGGAGGAGGATTTTTTCCGTTGTCGGCTCAGGACCTGTCTCCAAGTGCTGGGGTGTGTGTTGCTTCCCTGCCGGCCTCTACCCCAGTGTTGGATCCTGCGGCTCGCCTGGGTGGGGATGAGGGTGGTGGTGTGGATGTTGTCGTGGGGGTTAGGGCAGCCCCACCCCCGCCGCCGGCTTCCCCTGAGTCGTCCCTGCCCCTGAGTTCCCAGCCCGCCCCGTCTCGGCGGCACATGCCTGTTCCGTCACTGGATACGGTGTCTCCTGTCACTCTGGATGTCCGCGAGGGGCTGTCTCCTGCAGTGTGTGGTCCGGTGCCCCCGGCCGTGGAGGCTGCTGTTCTCAGGGGCCGGGCTTTGAAGGCGCGCCCGTCGGAGAGTTCTGCTGTGATACAGGATGATGGGGTGATAGCTCGGCCGACCGGCAGCCTGTCTCCAAGCACTCGAGGCGGGTCCGAGTGTGTCTCCCCTTCGTGGTGTGTCTTGGGTGGAGGTGGGAGAGTATGGTGCTCCGGCGTCTCCCGCCGTGGTTTGCGGTGCTGTGGGGGCTCTGTGCTACCTCCTGTGTCGCCCCGCTGCGCCTACTGCTACTGGCTTCCCACAGTGGGAGGTTGCTCCTGATGATCGGGACCTCGTTGTGGTCTTAAGGAAGATGTGCGCCAGGGAGCCCACTGCTCCTGTGCCCGGTGACGAGGGCCCTGGCGCGTGTGTCCTCTGCTGGTCCCCCCAGTGCGCAACCCTGTCAGAATCCTTGTGTGCAAACCAGTACG